AACCGAACCGAGACAGTCGAACCGAACGGTTCGGACGGTTTTCAAAAACCGTTCCATCCCTAATATATATATCCCTATGCAGCAAAGGCTTGATGCTTTCCTTAACTTAACTTTGCATGTGTTTTGTGTCTAATGCTGGTCCAACCTTTTGATTTTGCAGGACCTTTTCATATTATTTTGCACCCCTTTGGCCACCGTAATATTTATACGGTTTCATCAAAACTGCAATATAAGCTGACTAGAATACAATGACACTGATAGCCTGTGTTTTTAAGTGTTAATCAAGCAGAATCCCATCCCTCTGCTGAGTAACTGAGTTAACTTCCAGCTGAATAACAAACACGCTGTTTCTAAAAGGAGATCCTTTTAATGGAGTGATAGATGGGACTCCTTTAATTTCCGCACCATAGCTCCCATGTTTGTTTGTCACTATAAATACATCCACCTCTTTCTTGTATAGGACGGATCAGATTAGCAGCGGGGGAAAAAAATAAAAATGATTTACTACTTTTTCAGGCCTAACTTCTGTTAAACAGTAACAATCCCTTAGTTAGAGGTAACTTTATGGAGTCTCTGGACTCCATGTGAGAAAACTTACTGTTTAAGTGATTTGATTTGAATCTAATGTCATCTTAAAAGCTTTAGTTAAGCCTGATGGTCATTTGTGCATTCAAAGATACAACCATGATCCACTTTTGGTTGCTTTTTGATTTGATCTGTAACATTAGGCTCCTAAGATTCCTTTTCTTGATGAGGTTAAATCCAGGTTCCTCTGCAGGGGAACCAGGTTTTTTCTTGGTGAGGCATTTTGTCTGGAGGCGTTCATATTGGGCCCAATTGGTTTCTGGTTACCTGGTTACATACATTCAGTGTGAAGAGTTTGGAAAATGAGCGGTGATCTGTTAAAGAAGTCTTTTGTGTTTCATCTGGCAAAGGTGTCGGCGTCCTATTTCACAGCAGCCTCAGCCACGGGCAACTCTATCGACTTTGTTGCCTTTGATTTCAGGAGGAAGGGGAGGGACACGCCTGGTCCCACACAAAGCTGACTGCACATACCACACTGGGTATCCTCTGTCTGTTAATGACTCACTTACCCTCCCTTACACTCTCCTGTCTCTCGTGTTGCAGGCTAAAGCTGGAGCCCTCTTTATGCTTTGTTTGAAATGAGGAGCTGTTTACCACTGAGCCCGGGTGGTGGAATCCATTTTTTTCTCAGTTTAATTCAATTCAGTTTATTTATATACATCCTTAATTCACAACACATGCCATCTCAAGGCACTTTACAGTTCACCAGATCTTACAGTCAAATTGATTCAAAGTTTTCTATCCAATAAAACCAGTTGATTGCATCGACTCATTGACTCAAAGGCAATCCCTCACACTAAGCATGCTTGTAGCGACGGTGGAGAGGAAAAGCTCCCTTTTAACAGGATGAAACCTCCAGCAGAACCAGGCTCGGTGTGAGTGGCAAACTGGGGTTCAAGGAGACAGAAGCAGAGAAACAAAAAGCAGCTGTAAAAGGCAGCCCCTGTCCAGAAAACACACAGCCAGGCAGACGAGCTCAGAGCCAGCTCCCATGTAAGATGATGAAGAGAGCACATCCAGCCAGTCACAGTCAGAGAAACAAGACTACACTGAAAACAGGCTCTCTCCGACATCAATAAACAAAGGATTTGATGGTAGCAGCACAGCTGATATTTCTCTCCTGGATGGAGTCAGAGCCAAACAGGAACAGACGAGGCAAAGCTACTGTAAGAAAAAGCAGAGAGCATAACGTTAGAGATTAAAGTAACTGCAGAGTGGGAGAATAGAGATAGAATGAAGCAGAATGATGAAAAAGGGGTCCTTATGTCCTCCAGCAGTCTAAAACTATAGCAGCATAAATATAGAGACAGTTTAAATAAGAACAGATGAAAAACTCATCTTCAAAGATCACTTAACTCTAAAGGAACTTTTTCACCTAAAGGATTTTTTGCCTTTAGTGCAAATCAGCATTTCTTCTTCTCCAACTGATCCATGCTGAATTTTGGTGTAATGTGAGCAGTTTTTACTGTAAGTGCTGCAAAGCAAATAAAGGTCAGATTGTTGAGCGCAAAGGAGGTCCGAGTCGGGGACCTCCGTAGGAGAGAAACAAGGGTCCTCGCTGTCAGAGAGAGAGCGATCCTTGGCCTTACTGTTATGGGACCTCTGCCAGAAAGGATTTAGGGGAAAAGAAGCAAAACACTGAATGGTGGTCTATGCCTTAGGGTATGTGGGGTTTGTTTTTAAGGAAAACAATGAACAGCTTTATGCATCTAACGGATTTATAAGTCTCATAATTCACAAGTAAATATATTTGAATCCATTAAAAGCTTCTGCAGTCAAAAAGTTTATTTAAATGCTAAAAAGTGAGGTTGTTTTTTGTTTGCTTTCCAGTGCGCGTTTCCTGAAATGTCTTTCCTCCCATTTCCTGCCATCCATATTGCAGCCCACTCCCCACCGCCCCTGCTGCGTCCATCTCTCACCATCCTGCAGCTCTTGACCAGCACGTTGAAACAGAAGAATGTTTCCCAGCTAGTGAATGGGCAGCTTTGTGTGGCGCTGAAAAGAATAGTGCAGCTTATCACAACAAAGTTCAGATAGGGAGCAATTCAGTTTCCCTTCATAAAAACAAACTTGACCTCTGAAACTGCTCCATCATTAACCTTTCTTATGCTTAGATTGTTTTAAGGGACAGCTGAGACTAAATAAATATGATGATAGATAATATCTGTGCAAGTAAACAAAGAACTGGGTTGTAGTCGAGATTCATTGCTTTAGATGTTATCTGATCTTTTCTGCAAACTGCAAGTTTAGGATATTTCATTCATTATTTTTTGCCCGATCAGTGTACGTATGGAATGAATTTTGTACCCTTATTGTGTCAAGCAAAATGTATTGTAATAAATGCAATCTAGAAATTAATCTTTGAAAAAGATCTCTGTTCAAAAAGGGTTTAAAAGTAGTTTCAGTTTACTTTCAATTTATCAAATTTATTTTCTTATTTATATATATATATATATATTTCAATTTTATTTTTTATTGTATTTTTTCAAACTTCTATGAATTGCATTCTTTTCAAATTGACTTCCAAGAATCAAATTCTCCTTCCTCCGGAGTAAGGCATGCAGACGTATTCCTATTATTCTGCATGGATGTTAAAGGCTTCCGTTTTTTTTAGCTAATGTGGGCATCGGAAGCAAGTGTTTGTGTTGTTCTTGAAGTAAAGAGAACGTGATCCTTAACACGGCATTTTTAAAAACCTAATCTGAAAAAAAGATTTAAAAAAGAAAATCTAAGAAAAAAGCAAACTAGCTCTAATTTTCCTTCTGTTAAGAAGCTTTTCAATTATTTATTTTTGGACTGTCAAATTTTTATTCACTAAAACCTGGACGGGTTGCTCGCCCCATACACATGTAAACCAACTGAACACCTTTTAATAAATGATGTCCTTCTTAAAAAATGTTTCTTTCCCTTTGCAGCCATTTATGCCCCTGATAAATCTCCGGTGCTCACTGGACGTCCATGACTTCCTGTGCCGCGCCTTCTTCCCGATCTGCAGTAAGGATAACATGGTGATCCAGCCATGCAGGGAAACGTGTGAGAAAGTTCTGTCCGACTGTGAGGAAAATATTCGCATGTTTGACATCACCTGGCCTCCTGAACTGCAGTGCAACAAGTAAGATGACAATTACAAATAAATAAAAATGTAAAAAATTTAATCAAAATTAAATGAATTATTAGCCAATTAAAATCAGTGCTGTGCTAAATGAGTTTTTCACATTAAAAGCACAGACCTTGCAGTACTGTGTTAAGTTTTGATGTAATCGTAGAGGGCTGCTAAAAACTAGGCATTGCAATATTGTTGGTATTGGTATCTGTTATGATTGAACCATATTTTATTTCTCTGTATTTCACCCTAACAACCTCCCAATCGTCTCCCTGAGCCTAATAACAGCTACCAAACATGGCGTCACAGCAGGCCTTTCTAATTACTATATTAAACACATAAAGCAGTATGATTATAAGTGTAATTTAACGCTTTGCTGCTACCTGATGGACCGATGCAGAGCATTTCATAGCAGAGGAGAAAGAAATTATTATTTTTTAAGATTTTCATGCATAAAGTCTAAGCCATTTAAAAAGATCTGTTTCCACTTCCACATTTTATACGTTGTTGCTGCAAATTGAGCGAAAAATCCTTAAGGAGAAACAGCCTGTTTTACAGTAGCTGAACCTTTTTTACAGAAACTGAAATGTTTGCCCATTAATTACCTTAAAGTCAGTCAGCTTAATGCTGATAATGGTATCCAAAACATTACCATTTATCAATTTTAGTTTTACACTAATAAGAATAAAACCACCTTTTGATCTCTTTGCATTTAATAATAAGATACAATATGGATGTTCTAATCCAATATTGATATCAGAATCAGCCAGAAATATCAGCCATAGACTAATACAGAATATATCAGCTTGAACCTAAAATCTGATATAAGTAGGTTGATAGAAACACGGTTTCTGTTTAAAGACAATGTAAGCCATTTCCATACCTGCACTGCAAAACGTATCTAAAACTTTGTAAAAACTTCATAAAATAAGTGTGCTTCCCCTGAATTTGAGCAGGTTAATATGATGAACAAGCATTTTTACCCTTAAAATAAGATAACTAAATTTAAATGTCCTTATTCCATTAGCAAAGTGTCTCACTTAGTTACTCAATTCAAGAAATTTCGTATTGTATGTGATATCGTATCGGGGTCAATTTCAGAATCGTATCAGAAATTAGAAAGCCATATGAGGATATCGCTACTAATAAATTCTAGTTAGTTCTTGAAGTAGTATTTTGATTGTGTTTGAAACATGTCAGCACGTTGTTCACTCCAAAACAGAGCATGTGGTCTGGACTGAGGAACAGGTATTCAGATGTTACGAGCACACGCCTTTGGTTTGGGGACAGTGGGAGGAGTCACTGTTGCCATTTGCGTCTTTGCACTGTTTGATGCACCAAGTATAAACCTGGCATTTGGGGTTGAATTTTCAACGCATGAATTTAGTTATGCAACATTCCATTGCCCGACTGATCGCTGAGAGAATTTTGTTTAATTGTTGTTGCAAAGGATGTTTTGTAAATGGAAATTATATAAATAAAAAAATCTAATCCAAAAATGGTACTTGGAAAAATGTTTAAATCCAAAAAATCTTACCCCAGAGAAAAGCCTGTCTCCCAGAAGCAAAGAGAACGTGATCTATAACAGAATTTGATAAGAATTCAACTCATAAAACAAACTTTAAAAAAAAAATGAAAATATAAAATCTATATATATAAAAAAAGTTAA